TTTTGGGTTTTGCGACTTTTGTCGGATTTCAAGACGTGGGCCCGAGGGTCGGTTTGAGTCTATTTCGGATTTTGGTGTTTTTCTTGTGGAATTGATTCTTTTAGCCTATATTAATTATATCATGTTGTTTGTGGCTAGATTCGGGGCATTTGGAGATTGATTCGAGGGGCAAAGGCTTTGCGGAATAGGATTTTGTGCGGTTTGAGGTAAGTAACAGTTTTAAATCTGGTCCTGAGGGTACGAAACCCCGGATTATCGGATTATGTGAGTATTTTGGAGGTGACGCACATGCTAGGTAACGGGCGTGTGGGCGTGCACCGTAGGAATTGGAACTTGGTCCATTCCGTGAAACTGTAAAGTTGGATAACTTGTTGCTAGCTATATGCTCTCCCTATGTTATAGAAATTTGACTGCAAATCATGTTAGAAATCATGCTTAGGCTATGTGATGGTACTGTTGGGACCAGCAGAGGTCGCGTACTTATTGAATTATCTGCTAATTGTTATCTTGTACTCAGCCATGGTTTTACTTGTGTATCATATCTCAGCCTCTTCTTGATTCTTGTTGATACACTATGTTATCTTTGTTTGGGCTGATCTTTGTGATTTTCGAGAGCCCGAGAGATTAGAGAGGTTGATGACTGAGTGAAGCCGAGGGCCTGTCTGTGAGGTATTGATACTATGGCACGTGAATTGTCCGTGCAACACGTGAGTTATCCGTGCGGATCCACATATTGATACTATAGCACGTGAGTTGTTTGTGCAACACGTGAGTTGTCCGTGCGGATATAGTGCTTGGGCGGAAAGGAGCCCCTCCGGAGTCTGCACACCCCCAGTAAGCGCTGGTACCTATTGAGTGTGAGTACTGAGGAATGAGAGACGAGTGATTTGAGCTATTGTGACGAGTTGAGTGACTGTTGCCCTGAGAGGTTGTACTTATTTTTTCATTTGTTGATGCAGTTAGTTGCTATCTGTCATTTTTGTAAAATTTCTAAAGGATTCTATATCTGGATTACCAGAACTTTAACTGTATAAAACTGATTGGACTTAAATTGTCGGATGTGAAAGTATGTCTATTCTTTGCTGGAATTATTGAAAATGAACTGTAATTGTATAGCTCGTCACTGCTTCTCAGTTCCTTATTTATTTTTGTTACTTGCTAAGTTGGTTGTACTCATGCTACACCCTGCACTTCATGTGCAGATGCAAGTGTGTTTGACCACGGAGGTCATTGAGTTCGTGCGCGATCCAGTACTAGAGACTACGAGGTAGCTGCTGGCGTCCGCAGACCTTGTCTCTCCTTCTATTTTTTCTTTCTTTTCTGTATTGATACTTAGACACTGTTTTTATTAGACTGAATATCTAGATACTCATGACTTAGTAACACCATCAATAGGCGTCATCACGACAGGTTAGAGTTTTGGGTCGTGACATCCATATTTTTTTATTACCACTTAGCTTAATTATAACTCAATAATCCACATAGCATACACTTCGACTGGAACCCACCGTTGTGGACCTCGAAGAGTGCCTAACATCTTCTATTCGAGGTAATTTGAGCCCTTACCCGATCTTTAGTGACGTTGACTAGTCAAAACATAGTTATTTACAAATAGGTTCCCTAACACACCTTAAAATTTGTTAGGTGGCGACTCTTCTCTTTTAATACCCATTTAAAAGGGTTGTCATATGTCGAAACCTGCTTTTGCGAGAAAACGGGGCGCGATAATTTCTTTATTTAAAATTTAATCTAACTGTGTAATTACACTTGTGCAACCAAACATTAAACTTGTAACTACACTGTAATTACACTATGACAAACAAACAGGTCGTCGAAATTACATAACTGTGTAATTACTAGGCTGTGTAATTACTACCCTAGTAATTATACCTATTCCAACTACCTAGTGGCTTTCCAAACAGACCCGTAATCATTTTGAGGTAATAAATATAAAAGCTAAAGTATAAAAGTAAAAAGTTTAGGGGTTGCTAAAAAGGCTATTAATGACTTTATTAACACTAACTACCTACTTGTTATTCCTATCCAATTCTTAAAACTTACTCCAATTAAATGTCAAACTTATTTGTTCCTAATAATTATATCTCCCTGCTTTAAATGGTTTTGGATGGGATAGGAAGATAGTGGGAAGAAAAGGTTAAAAAAAAAAAAAAAAAAAAAAAAAAAAAAAAAAAAAAAAAAAAAAATTCACATTTTGAGAAAAACTAACGTGGAAAAACAGGTAGTAACGTGTGAGTTATACAGCTCAAGCTTAATCAGATTGTGGTCTTTCAGGATGATAATAATTTCACTTTGAACAAGTTAAAGGGGTGATAGGACCCTAGCAAACTTTAGGTTTGCATGAAAAATGAGATCAATTAAGTGGTATAATTATGCATTCTCCCATGAGATTTCAAATAAGCAAAGCTATACACTGAATTGCAAGAGAAATATGAAAAAGATTTTACATATTTATTTAAATCACATTAGTATACTTAAACTGTATTAAATTGCTATTTTTTGTTGTTATATGTGGGTTTATGAATTGGTGTTCTATTAGGTTGAACTTGTTGTAACGACTCGGCTGATTGTTTTGGGTTCTAGTATTTTGTCCTGTAATTTGAGATCTTGAGTGACTTCATATGATGTATTATGACCTGCGAGTATGTTCGGTTTTGATTTTCGAGATGTTCAGGGGTGGCTTAGAAGAGAAAATTTTAATTTGGAAGTTTTAAGTTGGAAGAGTTATCGAGGTTTGACTTTTATGTAAATGACTTTGGATTGATAATTTTAAGGTTCCGATAGGTTCTTATGATCATTTTGGACTTATACGTGTATTTGGTTCGGGCTTGGGGTGGCCCGGGTTTGATTTAGCACTTTTATTCGAAAGTTAGAATTTTGGAACTTAAGGAAGTTTGAAGATTTTGGTTTAATGTGTGATTCTTGATTTTGATGTTATTATTCATATTTTGAGACTTTGGAGAAGTTAATGGAAAGTATGCAGACTAGTTAGTATGTTTGAACAGGGTCCCAAGGGGCTTGGGTGAGTTTCGGAATAGTTTCAAATTATTTTGAGCCAGTTTGTGATTGCTGATTTTTTCAGGTGTTAGGTGCCCTTTCCATTCGCGAGGAAAGTCCAGTGTTTGCGAATAAGATAGTGGATTAGAGGATTTTATTCTTGCCGTTTGCGAGAGGGTGTCCGCGATCGCGAAGAGTATTTTGGAGATGGGAGCCTTCGTGCTTCGTGATCGTGGGAGGTGCACCGTGTTCGCATAGGCTGTTAGGGATCTGGAGGTTGGGTCTTCGCGGTCGCAGAAGAAGGGTCGCGTTCGCGATTGTTGCTAGACAGTATGCTCCGCGTTGGCAATATATGTGTCGCATTCGCAAAAAAGAACTGGAGGGTCGGTGGAGAATTCTACTTCGCGTTCGCGAAGGGTAGGCCGTGAACGCGATGAAGGATTTTGGCCAAGGGTAGTTTAAGTTTAGATTTTTGGGAAAAAAAGGCTCATTTCACTATTTTGACTTGAGGAGCATGAGAGGAAAAGAATTTTTAAGAGTGAGATCATTGCTACTTTACGGGTAAGTGATTTCTACCTAGATTTGATTATATATCATAATTCCCCATGTATTCCTACACCTAAAATGTAAAATTTAGGGTTTTTGTCTACAACTTAATAAAGTAGATTTTGGGAAATTTGATCACCGCTTGGGATCCAAATTTGAAAACTAATTATATATTTGGACTCAACAGGTTATGGATTATCGGATTTTGGTATTGATTTCAGATTTCGGGCGTGGGCCGGAGTTGACTTTTTAGAAATTCTTCAAAGATAGAAGCTTTATTAATTGGGATTGCTTCCTATAATATTGTTTAACGTTTGGCTATTTTCGAGCCGGTTGGTAGTGATTTCTAAAAGAAAATCGTTTTGGAAGGTTGATTTGACTTGCAAAAGGTAAGTGCATTGCCTAGCTTTGTTTGAGGGAATTTTTTCTAATAAATAATATTATTTGTTACATGCAAGGGTGATATATATGAGAAGTGAAGAGCGTATATGTATGTGCCATGATTATTCATATTCCAGGTAGATTCTAGATAACTTTATACCTTATTTGGTTGTGTATTTTACTTGTTCTATATTTTATTCTATTGAATGACTACTTGAGCACAATAAGTCATGATAGAGATAGCGTTTAACTCTTAAATTTAAAGTTGCTAGTCTAGGTGGGCCTTCTTCAAAATAGATTCAACACTTAATTGGCTTCAAATGGGTTTAGTAGTGGGTTATTTCGAAATCCACCATTAATGTGTTGAGAAGCTCGAAATCTGGAGGGTCGATATTTTTGGGTGTTTGTGATTCGTATTGATTGATTATTGAATATTTTCGCCTAACTTCTTATTTCAAATACTGAGTTTAGTGAGAACATATAAACCCATTTGGTGAAAATATTTCGCCATTGACGAGTTCGAAGCTTTTCATATCTGAAATTTTTTAAGAACTATTATTAATATTACTTAATGAAATAGAATGAGTGTTGATTAATATTAGTGAAATTGTTCAGGTGAAACTCATCCTAGAGTTTGAGATACATTTGTTGATGTTTTTGATCCATTTCAGATGGAGTTTCGTGAGCTGAAGTTTGAAGAAGACGACACACAACCTTTATATAATTTTGTATAAAAGTGTATATTTTTTATAGGCAAATAAAGAGACAACTAATGTTGGCCCCGTATGTCTATCTCACACTCCAACTTACCAAGTGACCATATAGACACTTTATGTTCGGTTTTATTATATTAAGTAAACACACGTCTCTGGAAAGTATAATGCGTGACATACAGTCGCGCCTACGTGGTTAAGTGAACCAATCAGAATATAACACGTAGACTACATGCGGTTAAACTTTTCAACGACAAATTAAAACGAAAAATAAAATAAAAATTAAAACGATACAAAAGAGGGCAAATTAAACGGGAGTGTTCATTTCAGTAAATTTTTTTTTATTGAAAATCCTAATTCCAAAATCTCCTCAAATCGATCTTCATCAATCTCTTGAGTAATCGTTCAATATCTTCGATTAAGCTTTAAAAACTAGAACCTTATTCATTCTTTGCCTTTAATTTTGCTTCGTTCATCTGTCGTTAGTCATTAGTGTGGAAGATATAGATATCGGTCGGAGTGGGTTTGAAGACAAATAACAGAAGAAATTTTATTAAGAGGTATTAACATTTTTACTATTTGTTATCTCTTTTTTCATGCGTTTGTAAATGGGATTTTTGTTATTTTTGGGAAAAGTTTTACTCTGTTACTGTACTCTGCTAAAGGGGAAAATATTTTGGCTTTTTAGTCTGTTAAAGGGTAGGGAATCTTGACCTTTATTTCTTGTCTTTTTCAGAGATTGTTCATATGAGTGGCTCTATTATTATTGTTTTTCACCACGGGATAGGGTTATTCAAAGACAATATGTTGGGGAGTTGGAAAGGGTTATCATTACTATAGATAAAGATCATTTCTCTCAGACCGAGATAAAATGTTACACTAAGGATATTGGGTATGATAAAGTTGAAGGCTATTATGTCAAAGACCCTACCAATATTCAATTTGTTGCATTAGAAACTGAGTCAACTATATAATATTGTTAAAGACTTACGTACTAGGTCCATTATTGACTTGTATGTGAAACATGTCATGGTTGAAGAAGGGTCCCTGCTGGGAGTGTTATAGGTCCACTGATTGGTGACATGGACCAAGAAATAATTAATATAGAAAGTGGGGTTAATTCTAGGGCAACACAGATTGAGGGTGCTATAAATGTGACCTTAAGTGAGGCAGTTGGGGTTGAGGGGGAGGTAGAACAACCTCTTAATGATGAAAATAGTAGTGATAATGAAGATTTTTAAGAAGATAACTTAGAGAATATTCCTGATGAAGATGACAGTGGATGAAGAATTGAGGGCTTTTAGATAGGCTGCTAGAAAAGAAAAGATAAGTGAAAGAAAGACCAAAAAATATAGAAAAGCCAATGTCATTCAAGAAGTGGAGCTTGAAGACATTAGATATAAGATAATGAATAAACATAGGGATATGATCAAATTTGCTGAAATTTGGATCAGTGACATTTCACCCATGGCAAGATTAGTTTTAGATGAAAATAAAAAGTTGGCAGGAGATTAAAAGTTATGTGGAATGCTGATACTGGCTTTGAAACTAAGGAAGGGGGATATAGATTCATTGTTGACATAGTTAGGAAAACATGTAGTTGCAGACCGTGGCAATTGAGGGGTATCCTTTGTGCTCATTTAGTTTGTGCATTATCTCATATTGGGGAAGATCCAGAAGATTATGTTGAGCATTGGTATAGAAAAGATACATACTTGAATGCTTACAAGTACTTCATTCAACCAATCCCCAACATGAAGATATGGCCTCAAACAAATAACCCACCAGTCGAGCCACCTTAAGTTAAACCAATGCCTGGTAGACCCAAGAGATGTAGGAGAAATGACAAAGATGAACCAAGAAAAAAGAAATGGGAAAAAGTCTCAAAGGAAGGAGCCAAGATGACATGTTCTAACTGCCACCAAATTGGCCACAACAAAAAAAGGTACAAATCAGGGATATGTCCTTTGTTATTTTCGTTGATCTACTTACTTGTTAACCTTTGTCTTCTAACCTTTGTTTTGCTACTTATAGCCTCAAGAAAGACCAAGAACAACAACTGAAGCAACACCAAACAGTCAACCTGCTACTCAACAATCTAGTACCACTACTGAGAGAGGCAGAGGGAGAGGACTAGAAATAGGAGTTGGCAGAGGAAAGGGAAGGGGAACTGGAATAGGAAGGGGAAGGGGCTGGTTCTGATTCAATAAGTACAGCAACCAGTGCACCTACTGGATTTGCTACTAAATCTGTTTCTGCTGCTGTTGGAAAAAAAAATAAGAGAACTGGGATTTCACATTTACACAGACACACAATCTGGAAGACAAGTTCTTAATGTAAGTTGTTTCACATTTTTATATGATAGTTATTTCATAAGTTATTAATAGATTGCCTAATAGATATCACTCTAAATTTACAGCCCGGAACACTAAGTGAAAGAGCCATCTCTAGTGGGAGACAATTAAAGAATGCATCACTTATCAATATTGATCTTGGATTCAAGCCACCTGAATTGAAATGGAAGGAAAAATCTGCTATTACTGGAAACCAACTTCAACAACAAAAAGAGATGCAAATGAAGAAGAAAAAGTCTCATTAGAAAAGTTTCACTTTATGTAGTTTGTTCAAGTGTTTTGTCTAATTTGATTTTCATGAACCTAAAACTGCAGTTTTAGTTATTTGCTATTAAAGAAATATTTCAGATATATGTTTGACATTTTATTTTGTAACTATTGCCTTGGTTTGAGTAATGAAATTTGAAGTTTATTCTACAAATTGTATTTTCCTTGATAGAGTTTATTGTATAGTTTGTATTTGTGTCTTGTAGTTGCGGTTGGGGAGAACATTAGTCATGTCAAGATTTTCCTGAAATATTAGTCCAAAAGTGGTTCAACTTGTATTCATCTAAGTTTCTTACATTATAATATTCAAAAGAGCTACTGGTTTACATAACTGCCAATACACAAAAGAGCTCCTTTAACCAACTAAATTTCAACATACATAGCAAATATTACATAAAAAACTCTCTAACAATCCAAGCGAGTATCACAATGATCGGCAACATTCTGTACTTTCTCCTCATCTTCTCCTTTTCTTCGTCGTGTTTTTTTATCCTCTTCAAAAATTCCTAAATTACAATCCTAGCTTGTTCAGGAAATTCATCTTCAAACCACTTAAAATACTTACATCCTTCATGTAAAACAATAAGAAAGGTCCATAAAAATGGAGTCTTGGCCAAACAATTTTGAAGAAAGAAAATAGGCAGAAAAAATAACTTTAAAAATTACTTACTCGACCATATTGGCATCCAAGATACCTGTGACCCGGGTTATTTTGTGACCACGAAATTATCAATTCTGCCCTTTTACCGCAATGACAATACAAGGTGTCTTCCATTTTTTATAATGCTTTGTAATAGAGAAAGAGGGAAGATAGAAGTAGGAAAAGGTCGGGGAAGAATGGGGAAAAATGGGGATTTAAGTTTAGGAATTTGAGAATTGGGATAAATATAAAAGGAATTCATTAAGGGTATAATAGTAATTTTTGTATTTTTTTAACCATTACAGTCAAGAAAAATTTAACCTAACGTGCTGCCCAACGTTTGTATCTCACTAGAGTTGCCATGTCAGACACGTGTGTTTACTTGATACAATAAAATCAAACATAAAGTGTTTATACGGTCACCTAGTAAGTTGGAGTGTGAGATAGATATTTGGGGCCAATTTTAAGTGTCTCTTTATGTATTTTATCTTTTTTATAATAGTATAAAAGTATGTATGTATATCTCTTATACACTATTATCACTTTTATACAAAGTTGATATATGGATCATAATAAATGTATAATATTATATAGTAATATATAAGGATGTATACTATTGTAAAAGAAATGTTCGCTATGCGGATGAAAAGTAAATAACATGACTGCGTAAGTGCAATATACTATATATATATATATATATATATATATATNCTTAGACACCTTAAACAAGGGTATAACCTATTAGACACTTAAAGTACAAGTAAATTGTTCCTATTAAACACTTGAGGCTGACATGGCATATGACTTGTTCTACACTTGTGTTTAGCGCGTCATGCTTTTTATATACGCTGACATGTCATGAAATATAAAATAAAAACCTAATTTCTACTCTTTCTCTCCCTCTCTTCCTTCATCTTTATGTACTCGGTGGCCATGGTTGGTCTTTACCCGTTTCTACCTCTTTTCTTTCTTCGTTTGCCTCCTCTTTTCACTTTGTCTTTATAAAGATGAAGAAAAATTAAAATACAAAGGGAATGGTGTTGAGAGTGTTAATAATGGTGATCACCCGAAAGTTAAGAAAGGGAACTCTTTGAAACTATAATGAAAAACTAGGCAGAAGGGAAATGGGTGTCTATGTATTCCGAACTTGGTTGGATAAAACAGATTAAATCTTACAAAATAAATTAAGAGAACTTAGTATATTTAATAGCTGCTTACAGATGTATGCCATTGTCCTCAACCTTGACTGCATGCATCTAAAGTTTCTGTTTTCACCTCCGATTCTCTTAAAGTTGTCTCCATATCTTTGAAGTTTAATTTTATATTGATGGCACAGCTCTGTTACGTACCCGGGATAGAAAGTTGCCCGACAATTGGCGTTTCACATTTTTGTTGCGAAACGATGGAGGATGAAGAAGAAGGTTCTCACTCGCTGATTTTGTCGGACTTTTGGGATGTGCCAAAATTATTGGTGAGGTTGGAGGAGGAAAGAGTGGGGTAGGGTTTATTTCCTACGTGTATTTTTTCTTTTTTGCTTTATGACATGCGATTTTCTTATTGGTCTGATTTTTAATGTCTAAAGCAAGTAAAGTCACGCGCTTACACTTGTTTTTACACTGTCAGAAATGTGCTTAATAGATACATTTTGGTGTTAGTTTAGGTGTCTAATAGGTTATACCCTTAGTTGGGGTGTCTAAGTGAAAAATTATGGCAAGTTTAGGTATGTATTTGGCCTAATTTTTAAAAAGGGCATTTTTGCTGCGAGATATATAGTGTGGCTTGTGAAAATGAGAAATGAAAAGATATTATGGATGGACAATACGTTAGGGGCTTTGCATTTATACCCGGTTTTGGGATTACAATTGAGCCTATACCCACTTTGCAAAAAAGATTTGCAAACCTACTCATTTTACGATCAACTTCAGACTTATCGGGTTTGAAGTTAAAAAAATTAGTGTGAAGTGAAAAAATTACGCTTTAGATGCACTTAAGGCCAAATAGATCTGAAGTGCAACCAAGGGTTTCATGCACTTAAGGCCAATAAGTCTGAAGTGAAAAATTGCACTTAAGGCCAAAAGGTCTGAAGTGCAACAAACGTTTTCCTATACTTAAGGTCAATAAGTCTGAAGTAAAAAATTGCACTTCAGATGCACTTAAGGCCAAAACGCCTGAAGTGCAACCAACGTTTTCATACACTTAAGGCCAATAGGCATGAAGTGCAAATTGGCCAGAAAAAGAAATTTGTTCTTCGAATTATAACAATCTAATATACGATTTAATACCTATATCTACTCCAAATGAGCTCAAATTTGAAATATAACCTTCAAATATCATCAAGAACAAACCCCAATCATCAATTTGTCAAAACAACAATAAATCTAACGAACCTATTTTGCAATTAAGAAAAAAAAAGAAGAAGAAATTCTAAGCAGTGGTAAAACATAAAGCGCCATAACAACTCACCACTGTAAAACATCATACTACCTTAAAATATATTCGCAAACACCATATAAAATCACTGTCACTCGAAGAAGAAGAAATAAGAGGAGAAGAATGCCTGAAGTTGTTTATAAAGTGGGTATAAATTAAAACCTTTTTAAAAAAAGGGTATAGATTAAATGGGGGAGACCAAATAGGGCGCCCGTGCAATTTTTACAATACGTTATAACTTGCATTTGGTAGGTGAATTTAGTCTTGTACTATTAATTAGTCAGATGAATTTAGTTTATATTGACTTATGCAAAGCAACTTTTGATTTGGTTGGTTTGATTTGGTTTGATATTGAGTAAAAAAAATCCGAACCAACCCGACATATAAATAAATAATTTTTATAAATACTTTTAAAATTTTATTTAAAAAATATCTAGAAATATTTGGGATTCTCTTGCGGGATATAAATTTTAATAGAATATGAAGTGCTCCATATTTATTGACCTTAAATAATGGGTTGTATGATCACTTTCTTATCAAGTGTTAGTGAAATGCGTTTATCTCTTTGTTTTTCCATATTCATATCATATGTTAAGATCTATTAAAATCTTATATCTTTTTTGAATTTGAAGTGATTATTAATATTTAGGTATCATATTGATTTTTATGTTTAATTACTAGATTCGGTTAACCTAAAAGTGTACATCAACGAAAAAATTGTTAATCTGAAAGTGTACATCAACGAAAAATTATTGTCAGACGACTAAAAAAAATAACTATTATGTGTTACTAATAGAATTCTCCCATAAGAATATTTTAATCGATAATATGTTTGTCAATTTTTTATATTTTTACTAAACTTCAGACTTATCGGGTCTGAAGTTAAAAAAATTAGTGTGAAGTGAAAAAATTACACTTCAGATGCACTTAAAGCCAAATAGATCTGAAGTGCAACCAATGGTTTCATGAACTTAAGGCCAATAAGTCTGAAGTGAAAAATTTCACTTCAGATGCACTTAAGGCCAAAAGGTCTGAACTGCAACAAACGTTTTCCTACACTTAAGGCCAATAAGTCTGAAGTGAAAAATTGTACTTCAAATGAACTTAAGGCCAAAACGTCTGAAATGCAACCAACGTTTTCATGCACTTAAGGCCAATAGGCATGAAATGCAAATTGGCCAGAAACAGAAATTTGTTCTTCGAATTATAACAATCCAATATACGATTTAATACCTAAATCTAATTCAAATGAGCTTAAATTTGAAACATAACCTCCAAATATCATCAAGAACAAACCTCAATCATCAATTTGTCAAAATAATAATAAATCTAATGAACCTATTTTGCAATTAAGAAAAAAAAAAGAAATTCTAAGCAATGGTAAAAAATAAAGTGTCATATCAGCTCACCACTGTAAAACATCATACTACCTTAAAATATATTCACAAACACCATATAAAATCACTGTCACCCGAAGAAGAAGAAAAAAGAGGAGAAAAATGCCTGAAGTTATTTAAAAAGTGGGTATAAATTAAAACCTTTTTAAAAAGTGGGTATATGTTAAATGGGGGAGACCAAATAGGGCGCCCGTGCAATTTTTACAATACGTTATAACTTGCATTTGGTAGGTGAATTTAGTCTTGTACTATTAATTAGTCAAATGAATTTAGTTTATATTGACTCATGCAAAGCAACTTTTGATTTGGTTGGTTTGATTTGGTTTGGTATTGAGTAAAAAACCCGAACCAACCCGACATATAAATATATAATTTTTATATATACTTTTAAGATTTTATATAGAATTTTCTTTAAAAAATATCTAGAAATATTTGGGATTCTCTTAAGGGATATAAATTTTAATAGAATATGAAGTGCTCCATATTTATTGACCTTGAAGAATCACTTTCTTATCAAGTGTTAGTGAAATGCATTTATCTCTTTATTCTTCCATATTCATATCATATGTTAAAATCTATTAAAATCTTATATCTTTTTTGAATTTGAAGTGATTATTAATATTTAGGTATCATATTAATTTTTATGTTTAATTACTAGATTCGGTTAACCTAAAAGTGTACATCAACGAAAAAATTGTTAACCTGAAAGTGTACATCAACGAAAAATTATTGTCAGACGACTAAAAAAATAACTATTATGTGTTACTAATAGAATTCTCCCATAAGAATATTTTAATCGATAATATGTTTGCCAATTTTTTATATTTTTACTAAATATATATTTACTTATCAAATATTTAACAAAGTAAGATTGAAATAATATTTAAGTAACAAAAAACCCAAAAACCCGAAAAATTCGACAAAATCGAACAAATCCAAACTGATATAGTTGGTTTGGTTTGGTTTTGATAAAAAACGAACCAACTCGCTTCATGTACACCCCTACATGCTGGTTAGTGTATTGTTTTATTTTGCTTTAACGTATCTTAAGCATTGAGTAGGAGGTATTTTTTATTTTGATGAAGGGCAAAATGGACAGCAAATTTTGAAGGATATTTTATAATTTAACTTTTAACTTAAGACCTTCACAATATAATATATANGGCGGTAAGTGATTTTATATTCAAAATTATTTCAGCTTACTTTTAAAAAGGCTTTTCAGCCATTTCTTTGTAAGATAAATGTATGAACTTAGAGTGATTTTATTTGGTAGAATAGTCTAGTAGACTCATTTACTTTTTCAAGTTTGTCATCCCGGTCCCTATATTCCACGAAGTTTCATTCAAACACTTGTAATCGATTAAAATGAATATTC